CACTCTTGAGCTGATCTAGCTCAAGGACATAAATAAGATCTACGGTGGGACGAGCCTGTGCAGAAAGAATCTATTCTGAGTTATATGCAGATAATATATGTATATTAATTACATTCTTATGTCAGAGCGGTAAAGCTGTGTAGTGATGGAGATCACTTATGTAATTTATTTTATTTCATGGTAACCTAGAGTACTCGAAGTGAATAATTAATGAATTATTTCTAAAATGAAAATACTTTAAAATAATGATCTTCTAAAGTGATATAGTTCAAAAGATATAGCGTGGCGCTGGTGGAAGAACTAGCTCAGCAGCGGCACGATTATCTCTATAAATATTTATAATAGTTAATTATCACTGTTATGTCCCAGACTGATAAACAGAGACATTTTTTGGATATATATATATAATGAATATACTTACCTTATTCATTAACGGATTAAATGGAGTTCATTTCAAAATCCAAGAGGATGGCGCTGCCAGCCTGACGGACCGTAGATTTAATAACATATAAAAATGTATTTCAAAGATTTTGAGTATAGTGAACGTTGAAATAAAAAACTTTGTAAAGTGAAAATAATAAAAAAATGTATTTCCAGAATAAAATATCATAAACATACAAGTACTAACCAAGTCTGTCCTGTAGGGGACAATTTTACAATTTCCACTATATGAGCAAACAATAAACCTTAAACATGATTTAAAAGCGTGTTTGTGTGTTTATACGTGTGTCCGTATAAACACACAAACACGTGCGCGTACGTGTACATGTGCGTGAGTACTCAACCGGACACCTCATTCGGAACAGGAACGGTCACTTTTCGCACATCAAAAGTGCGGTCGTCTATATTTGTACTTAATTTGATACTGTTCCTTTTTTTGGTAAAAATTAAAGAAATTTAGACGATTTTGTGTGTTTTAACGTAGTAAAGCGCAAAAGTGTCTGTTCTACCGACTATAGTCTCTATGATAGATACTTAATATATTACTACCATAGAATTAATAAGTACTACGTACAACAGTACTTATTAATTCTATGATTACTACCTCCAATAAAAATCATAGTATCAAATATTTTTGGTTGTCAAAAAATTAATAAATAAAAATGCTGCTGTTCGATTAAAATTCTTCACTTTCGTATGTCCCTGTAGTAAGTAAGGAGTAGGCAAAACATTTTCGATTAGGAAGAGAATCAGACAAAGACGAACCCCATCCAGGGCGACTGGGCGACCGATTGAAGTCATTATGGAAGAAAATGTCCAATTTGTGAAGGAAATGGTACCGGAAGATAGACGCATGAAGACAAAAGAATTAGCAGCAATGCATGGTTTTTTAAAAACATCAGTACTTAGAATTTTACATGAGCATTTAGGTATGAATAAAATCAGGGCAAGGTCCCCAAAATTCTTTCCGTTGTTCAAAAATAAGAACGAGTAAGGTGCTGTAAATTTTTTATATCTGTGAAGGCCGACTGAAAGAAGTTTTGGATTCAATTGTTACGAGTGATGAAACGGTGGTCCTCGACTATGATCCTCTGTCTAAGAAGGAGTCAATGGAATTGCATTGTCCGGGCTCACCGCGTCCAAAAAAACAGGTAAGGGTGTATTGAAACGTAAAATTAGTTATTCCAAATTTCCTTTTGTTTTCTAAACCAGGCCGGAAACTTTTGGACCTTACGACGTATATGTTGCGACTGCGGCCTCCATTATTTGTGTTATTATATTTCATCTTTGTTGTTGTGTTTTTTCATTGTTTCAGCAAAGTATTTAGCAATTAAAAAATATTTTTAGAGGTGTAGTGAATGAGTGACATGATTACTTATAATACTTTGTGAATATTAACAAAACATAGTCTCATTAAGTCCCCACAACAATTGTTACATGAATTACCTTTTTTACTTTCTTTGAAAGGATTTTAAAGTACAATAAATAACTCAATACGAGTTATGATTTTCAATTGAAAGACCTTGGGTTATGAATTAACTGGAGAGCTATATATTAATTGGTCGTACAAAAATACTAATACCAATAAATGTCTCAGGTGACATGTTGGATTTTCATTTAATTAGTTTGTTGTGATGCTATAAAAATTAGGATTACTCTATGACAAAAATATACTATATTTGTGATGATAAAATAATAATAAATATAAAATTTTATATCTGCACATTTCGTACACTGAAGTCTATATGTCACCAGCATATTGTGATATACAAAGCTTCTACAATTGACTACAACCTTAATGCAATGGTAGTTAAATTCAAAATCAATTGCGGAAAGGACAATGCTCATTTGTTCCCCAGAGACACCCAGAAAATGTGCACTACAAAACTCTCCTAAATAAATTATCATTCTTAATGAAAAATGGTAAAAATCCACCAGCCCCAGACACTCTGATAAAGGACCCAAAACCACGACCTTTCACTTTTGATTAAGAAAGTGTAACATTGTGAATCCAACATTGATGAAATATAAATAATATTTTTTAATATAATAAATTGTTTGTGTCTTTAAAATTGTTGATTGTGTTTCGGTTATTGAATCAGATTGTTGCTGGGTTAGAGACATATAATAACTTATTATTAAAAAAACAATTAAAAAGATATCATAATAGATCTACATTTTGAGGCATTTCTGGGTAAAAGTTCCATATTAATTTGGACATAGTCAATTGACATTTTAAGTGTGTAGTTTATTTACTATCTAAATAATGGTATTTTATTATTATCAATAACATAGGTTGTTACATTCAATCCTTCTCAATTCAAAGAATTGAGACTTAACGTAAATATAGCCTGACGTTATTGGCAGTGAAATAAATATAAGTACGTATTTTTTTTCACATGATTTCACCATGTAAAGTTTATGATTTCTTAAGTATAAATATACATATCGAGGATTGAAAGGTTAATTGGTTAAAGCAACGAATCGGAATAATGTCTTTCTAAGTAAGTACATAAATCAATATCATCAAAATTATCATATAAACCACAGAGGAAATACAAAGAGGAGGAGATAGAGAAGGTTCTGACGTCATCGTTATAGGCGTGGTCAGTTTGTAAGTTTTTAATAGTCGTCTGCTTAGTACTGTTTTACATCCTCATTGGTTCATTTTCATTGTTTTTTTAAAGTACTTCATTATTAGTTATGTTTATGATGCATTATGCGGTCAAATATACTAGTATAAGCGTTCTGATGCCAGGGGTAGCCTTATGTTTTATTTTCAGAAATTTTATTCAATAACTTTCTAAACATAGAAGATAACATAACATAGAAGAGGGCGGAGTGTACCGTCCCCTACGTCTTGTGCTGTGGTCACAACAGTTCCTCTTTGTATTTCCTTTATGGCCTAAACCAATAAGTCAAAATTTTACACATATTTTAAACAACATTAGACTATAAAAAATATATTTATTAATAAATAATTAATTTTAACTATTAAAAAGATCTAAGTACCTTTCCTGTGTCAGTGTGTATTTTTTCTAAAAAATTATTACAAGGCCGCGTCACCAGTTGTAATAACAGAAGTTTAGCTATTATTTAACTTTTCATTTCGATAAGTAAAATTAATTATTAGCACCTTTATTGTATTATATTATGTATTATTATTATATGGATAATAAAATTTTAGCACCATCAAATTATTGATATCTATCATATTGTGTCATTGTATATTAACGTATAGTCTCTTTCAATGAAGTCAAATAAACCTAAAACTGTAGGATGCGATACTAATAAGCCGCATAGTGATACTAAAGGTGTCACTTCACATAAATTAATTTGGTACAGGTTATAACATAAAAAGTTCTATCGTTTATATAAACTATAAAAACTTAACTCACTGTTCATCAAAAGACAATAATAAAAACATATACAAAATATAACTGGTTTAGGTAAACCAAATAATTTTAACAATAAATTCGTAATTAGGCAAAAGTACATGCTATTAATAATAATTTAAGTCACAGTCTTACATTGATAAATGGTAACTGGCTAAGTTATGTCTTATGTTACAATAGTGTATAAATAATACAAAATAAAAACATAAATAATATACAAAAATATATATACAGTTTTTAACATTGTATTTAAAAATTTATTTATGGAACTGAAGAGCAAAACAAAAGGGGAAGGTCTTATCACCCGCCCGTTTGAATTAAACACTCGTCAAGGGAATTGTTATTAATTATATAATCGAATGTTTTATTGACGTTCTATAATTCATAAAATCTAGAAGGGTAGTTAAATAGAACTTTGTATAACAAATAACTTTCTCGAAATTGATATCTGTGTGCATTTAACGGGTGGCTCTTATTCATACATAGACTATCAAAAATTAAAAATTACTAATTTCTTTTTAATTAAACTTTTAAAAAATATAAGTGTCTTTTCAGCTAGTAATAATAACAATAATAGAAATTCCAAAAAAAAATACAGTACAGTTTAAGGAAACAAAAAGGTACAAAACGCAATGTTTTCGATAAAACAAAATTAATAATAATAATATTCATGTCTTTATCACAACACATAATTATGGACTGTTTTACCCGCTATGGTAGGGACGTGCTCGCTACCCGCACTCGCTTCCACTTATGCCTTACACTATACTTTTGAAGAACATTTGTGCGAGTACGCAAGCAATTGAATACGTATAGATAATCGAATACATATATGTATATATATATACCCTTGACAAAAATATTAATTATATTAACTTAATACTTATACAAAGGCCTCTCTCCCTTCAAAAACTGGTAAATACTGTCTTACGTAATAAAGGTATGGCCTATAGATACTAACCTAGGGTGTACTATTAAATACAATCATATCTAATGTTGTGTTAATACTTGTGTTCGATATGTTTCATATTCATTACCTTTGATGATTTAAGAAGCATCAAAATTCAAAACGTATACTTATATAATATGCAGCGACTGAAGACTGTGGGCAATATTGAATACTAAAAAGTATAATTGTAAGGCACTACCTACATGTAGAATTATTTATAAATCTTTCTTTGTCAGCTTATTGTTGTAACTCTGGAAAAATAAATTATTAAGGCGGTAAACACTGTTTTTTTTTTTGTAAAAAAAACTTTATTAGGAGTATATCCTATAATAACTTTATTGTGTCTTTGTGGATGTTATTAATTATTACTTAAATTCCCATAGTATAATTTTAGTACCTATTTAATCCAATCTGAACTTAAGAATAAACATTAAGACTAAACTTATAAGTTTTATATACGAAAATCTATTAGACTGAGTGATGGATGAAAATTTTAAAACCTTGTAATATCGATACAAATAATAATTTATGCATGTTGAAGTTACGTACCTCTTCAGCCATTTTGTAAAGTGCCGCTGCGTTTTCTTTCCCAGTCTGCTCTACGAGTGTCTTGAACATACCCAATTGTTCTGTTTCTGATCTGTATAAATATCGATTTGAATGATATAATATTTTCATACAGTTTAAACACTCTAATTTCTTTAGTAATAAGAATTTATTTTAATATTAGCTTTTATATTATTTACAATGGAATTTTTAAGCGGATGTTCTAAATCTATGATGATAAAATATTGCATACACTTAGACGACAATGCAGATAAGACGGACAGTACAATATGGCGGTCAGTTTGCTGAGATGAATTCGAAAATAACAAAATGTCTTCAACCTAAATCCAAATTACCAAACTTATAATATATAAGCAATATCATAATATGACTATCAAATAGAAAAGATCGCTAAGATTACGCTATTTACAATAAATAAATCGATATCATTCCAAGTAAAACATGGCGACCACCAAGATGGCGGAGTATTTATGTTTTAAGAATTGTCATAATATGGGTATCAAATAAAAAAGTTCACAAAGAAGATTACAATAAAACCACTAAAATTAAAACAAAAAAGTAAAAGAAGAATAAAATAAATACGTTAAATAATATAAATAAACTACTGCATATATATATAATGAAAAAAAATGGCGCTATTATTTTTTTGAAAAAACTTCTGGCCAACAATGATATTGTAAGAATAGCAGGTACTGGATACTTGCCTATTGGAATATACTCGATCTCTTAATCCGAAGTTTTCAGGTGTAGCCAAAGGTGCCTGGAACGTTACATATATTTTAAACACAAAATTTTTATGATGATAAATTCTTCATTTGAAAAATCAAACTTAAAGAAGTTTAATCAATAGGTTGTATTTTCTAAATCAATGCTACCAGATAAGGTGCCAAGAAGACTGCGAGCGTTTCCTCTTTTGAATTGCCAGATTAATTCTTTGCGTGGGGTACAAACTAGTCTTCCGATCACCAAACATGTCAAAAGGCTTCTTTTTTATCTTTTGATATAAACGATAGGCTCCGGGCGCCGCGAATGTAATATGTAATACAATTTTTTATTTTATTTAAATGTATCGAACTCATCATTTGGCAACCCTATAGAAATATTTGAAATATACACAGTTCAATTTTAACATTATAACTTAACACAAACCCGAGTTTTATGATCCAGAGTTACGTGGTTCGGAGAAGTAGTAACGCAAGGCGAGCTGACCTGAGTCAGCAGTTCATACGGGTGGCCAGATTCTACGATACGACCCCTGAAAAATAAAATAATTTAAAAGAAATCACAATAACTATCAAACAAAACTTTAGTTCGATATCTATAATATTTCGAACGGGTTATATATAGGCTGAACGTCAGGTTACCACAATGTGTCAAAATTCTACTGAAGAAATTTGACATATTTGTATAACCTGAATTGCTGTTGGCTGTACATATAGTACAACGTTAATATTATTATTGGACGACCTCTGTGGCTAAATGATAAACACACCATTCTCAAGTTCCATTTGCGATCGATAAGAAGTAAATATAGAAAATAAATTGGATCTATGTGCTGGCTGTTGTACTGTCGTTGTTTAAGCCACATAATTGGGTAAAAAAAAATTCTTCTGGGTAAAAAAATAATCAGTACCTTTCAATTTGACTTCGACACATATGAATTTTAGAATGTTTGTGCTAAAAGGTCTTTTGAGCACGCAGAAACCACGCAAGGTCAGAATTTGCACTGTTTCACAATGACTTCAAATTTATTCTTATAATAAGATGGGAGTAAGATGTATTATTCAAGCGAAATTTAGAAGTTTGAAGAAAATCTCCAACAAAAGTTACGTTTTTGAATCAAGGGGCGTATAAAGAACTAATTATAGAAGTAGTTAAGGGCGTGTATTGGTTAAGATAAATATCAATATAGCATCGTGAGTTCAAAATTCGTCTAATATAAAAAAAAAAACATGTTTCAACAGTGGTACTTTTTTACCCAACTGCAAAGGAAGGGTTATGTTTCGCGCGTACCTTGTATGAATGTATGTTATATTCTTTCAGCGCTACTTATAAACGTGGTATAAAATGTTATACCGAGAATTAGTGCAGAATACGCAAAATGTCAACTTATAAACTCGGTGTAACTTATGCTTAGCATAACCTGGATGTAACGTTCTAACAAAACTTATTCCACCGATATTCCGCCCGTCACCCTAGTATAACCATTAGTATTAGCTCAATGAGTATAACTCTGGTGTAGCAACGGATTTGTCAAATGACATTTTGATATTGTTGATGCTTTATTGATATTTACCGTATTAGATAATTTTTAATAATATTGAAACGTGTGTTTATTGAAATATGGCGTTTAGACAATACAAAAAGTGGAAGAAATTAATAATTTGATCAATAGATCGCAAATGTTTAGGAAGAGAAGAAAATCTAAAATATTTAGAACTAGAACGATCCCTTCCTTTTATACAATGACGACGAATTTCGTATAAAATATCGTTTTTCCAAAGACGGCGTCTTATTGTTAGAACGTTTATTTGGCAGTGAGCTATATTGCAGATACTGATAACGCTGAAATACTACTTTTACTTGCCATTTTGATATTAAATTCAAATTCAAATTATTTATATTAGTTTATAATTGAATTAATAATTTACAATATCTTGCACAAAATCACCCGCGTCTTGTTCAAGGAATAACCACATGTAACATCAATCAACCAAACGTTAAACTTGCGTTAAACTCAGTAATATTTGACACTTCAACAGACAAAATACTTTCTTTTTTTCGTTTTTGTCTATAAAATGCGGCGTTGCCGCTACGTGCATCGAACATAAGGGTGGAATACTTACGCCGAAGATATACCAAGTTTATAAGTCAAAAGATATTCTTCCGTTATTATGAGCATATACCGAGTATAACTATTCTTGGTATAACGATTGAATAACCATAGTTTAATGAATTTTTATAAGTAAGGCTGTTTATTATTTAATATTTTCAAAATTTTTCTATGGATTTAGAAAATTGGGGTATCGTAAATTTTGTCTTAGTAGCCCTAGCACTCTTAGATACCTGCGTTATAAAAACAACATGGCGGCTATGTGACGCCTTAAAATTTAATGATTCTTTTTCTTTCAAATACTGTACATACTATATGGGTTCAAATTAAAAAATTCAATACAAAGATTCCAAAAGGTACGTCATGATTATTATTAGTGTAATACTATTAAAAATAATACAATTCTTTTGTCCAACTAAAAAGACTTAAATAAAATTATAATTGAAAAAAAAACTCGCCTCAGTAAAAAACAACTACCTGAAAAGACTGGAACAAGATAAGAAAAATACAACATCATACATAACATGCAGTCGGAGGCATGCACAAAGAGAATGATTTGACATATTATTCAAGAGGCTAGTTGCCAACTTTTTTTTGTTATTTTATAAACAAATAGTCCATTGATATCTGAGAAATAATGTAAAAGTAACATCATGTCTGCGATTAATAGTTTCGGAGATACGATGCTATGTTTGTGAAACTGCTGCTAGTCGACCTAAAACGCTCCCACCCTAAAAGTGACGTCATACAGTGCGTATTTAAAAATGTAATCTTTGTTACACAACGTATTTATAGCTCTCATTATAAAAGTTGTATCATTCTATGTAACTAATTTAATGCCATATGTACTTTAGCCAATTTTTGTAATATATTTTCCCTACTTTATCAAGTTTTCAAAGCGTAATATTTTCCACAATAGTGTTATAAAATTTATTTTGATATATATTTATAATTCAAAATGGTTCATATTTTCCGAACATATAACAAAAACCTGTTTTTTCATTTTAGGACAGAAGCCTATGTCATGCCTCTGACTGCATGCTATGTATGATTATGTATAAATCTTCATCTTGATCCAGCCTCTTCCTTAAATTGTTTTTCACGCAGGCGGTTCTTTTTCAATTATAATTTTGTGCGTGTAGAAATAGCCATGGGCCCAGCAGTGGGCGTTGGGCACATATATACACTCTTCTTCTTTTATTAATGGCTTATCTGCGCATTTCGCAAAATTCTGCCAATGTCAATTGAATAAATAAATTTCTACATGTAAAATTAAAAAGAAATGAATGAATAATTATATAGACACTCACTTGTCCATGACTATGACGCGGTCGTAATCCATGACAGTGTTCAAGCGATGCGCGATAGTCAGCACCGTCGAGTTGGCGAATTTGTTCCTGATCGTAGCCTGAATCAGTTTATCTGTTCTGTAAGATAAATTGTGTGTGTAGTCAATACATTATTAAGGTATGGGAATAGTTAATGTATGAGGCAATTAAGTAAATAGGGAGTAAGTTTTACGTTTGCTTATGATTCCCTTTTAATGGGATCGATGGGGGAAAAAACCGAAATGTAAAAGTATTTAAAAAAAAATACGTTTGTGTTATGGGAACCCCTTAAATATTTATATTATTCTGGTTTTTAGTATTTGTTATTAAAACAGTAACAGAAATACATCATCCGTGAAAATTTCAACTGTCTAACTTTCACGATTCACGAGATATAGCTCGGTGAGAGACAGATAGATAGCGAAGTCTTAGTAATAGGGTTCCTGTTTTGCCGTTTCGGGTACTAAAGACTGAAAATTAATTTCATAAAAAATATAGGTTCAAAATATAAGATCTAAAAATTACCTGTTGTTCTTATTTTTCTTTTATTAATTGAAGCATATATACATATCTATATATTAATAGTTGAAGCAAAAACTTTGGACCTCTTTTTACGAAGATTGCGAGGACGGAGGAGTATGAAATTTGACACACTTATAGTTAATATGTAGGAGAAATGCAAACGGCTAATATTTTTCAATAATAATGCTTATGCAGTACATTAAACCGATAAATAAAACATTACACACACTATTATGCATTTGACATACACAAACAAGTATTTACACGCATACATGTACCCTGGGGTCAAATTGTTTCTTTTGACGTAGAGTTTGTTTGTTACTGTGGTCTTACTGCATGTCAAAAGATTTATGTTAAATAACTTCTAATTGAAATTGATTATGGTCGAATTTCGATCAGTGGGCGACCACTAATACATATTATCACAGAACAAAGAAAGACGTTAGAAGGGCCTTGTGGGCGTGGCAGTGTAGCCACGATCCTGGACAAATGTACAGGATTGTGACTTCACCACACGATCGCGATGTTTAGTCATTCACGAACGCGCGCGCTGTAAGTACTGCAATACACATCACTAAAAGTGTTAAAAATGCCGACTTGCGCAGTTACTGATTGCAAAACAAGAAGCCCATCCTCAAGTAAGTCCAAAGGAAGGATTTCTTTCCATTAGTAAGTAGAACACTTCTCAAATTTAGTATTTTTAGTCGAAATTCGTGAAATGTTATCAAAAGTGTGAACCACAAAAAATATTTCCAAGAAAATATACATTGCTGGAGAAGTAAGCATATTTATTACATTGCGTCGTACTAAGCACGTAATGTAAATAACGTCGCGAAATCAACCTTTTAAATAGTAACATAATAGATTAAGGTAGATGGCTAGTGAAGTGCCTGGAAATATAAAACTAAATAAAAGTAAGGACGATAAAAATATTGGTAATAAAAGATAAATTTAATCAGAGATTAACGGACAGCAATAAATAAAATGTAACCCTATTCTAGACTACCATATTGACTTCGTTTGGTATGCGTTTGCATATTAATTTAATAATGAGTGTGGTGTAGTGAAAAAAACTGTTTCTGTATTCTTAATATTGTAACAGATTTTTTTTTATTTTTTTTATTTTTAACCATTAAAAACAATACTTTTTAAATCATCGGAATCCATTAGGGGTAAGTTCCAATAGCATTTATTGTACTAATTGTTTTTTTTTAGTTTGTATGCATTTATTTATATTATATTGTTTGTTACTAGTTTCATTAAAGCGTGTTGCCGATTTTATCTGTTTACTTGATACGAAATCGAGTAACGTAACGTAAAAAAAAACAAATATTTAAGCACGACTAGTACCGATTAAATGTTAGTTAATTATTAGGAAGTGATTTAAGTATTTCTTAATGAATCAATAAACTAATTAACAATTAATATCTAAAGAAAAAAGATAATGTCACATTTAATTAATTCAATTCAATGTATATCTTAAATAATATAAAAGAAGTCATTACTCCAGTATCCTATCAATGAATTGTCTTGTTGTTTTTCATTATCGATAGTAAATAACTTTATGTCAATCACTAGTGTAATATGTCAAATTAAAATGGCTTTTACATGTTTATTACGCACTCTTGATGTCTATTATGGTTGAGCGTGATTAGTTATAGTTATATTGGAGCGTTCAGATTGGCATGTTTAAAATGCAAGTGTGCGCATGTCTTTTGTATAATCGGTCTAATATTTCACGTGATGTATGGCGAACGAGAAGTGGGGCAAGACTGGCGATATCGGTTTTCGTACAAAGGATGCGTGATCGCCTTTCAAACCTCTTTTCTGTGTTCTGTGACATATTATTACGGAACACAGATGCATATTATTATCTAGTTACTTGGCGTCCACGTTGGCGGTGGCCTCGTCGAGCACGAGCACCCTGGCGCCGGTGAGCGCGGCGCGCGCCATACACACGAGCTGGCGCTGCCCGCTGGAGAGGTTCCCGCCGCCGTCGCCCACCTTCCCGCCCAGCCCGCCCGCCCAGCCGCCCACCAGCTCGGACAGCTCCACCTGCCACCGGTCATGCGGTTATGCGGTTGCGCCGTCATACGAGTACAGCGCCGCATACGAGTGTCACGATATACCTGCTCTAGCGCGCGGTATATCTCCGCGTCGGCGTACTGCTGCGCGGGGTCGAGGTTGTCCCTGAGCGTGGCCGCGAACAGCGCGGGCCGCTGCGGCAACGCGCACAGCTGCGACCGCCACGCGCGCAGCCCGCACTCCTCCGCGCACACGCCGTCCACGCGCACTGACCCGCTGATGCGGTTCAGTCTGCACAACATCGCATACTGATCACACCCTCAGCCCTACAGACAGCTGCATAGTTAACAATTCCAACTTATTTAAAAAGAAATTGTTATAACTGCCAAGAAGGCAATAGGGGTGATGACATTTTTTTTATATTTTTATTATAGATTTAAAAAGTATCATTCGTATAAAAAGTTTGAATCTAAAAATAAGTTTAATTTTTAAATTCTCCCGCGTAAACGCCACTTCTGTCATGGCGTCGCTATTACGTCACAGCCCTCTGGAACTAATATCGCTCTATGTATGTATAAGGTTGAATTCTCTAACCTTCTGAATGAATAAGAGGAGCGTGATGTCATGCGCTGTTTGCGGTCACGTGACAACGAGTATAAAATATTTGTTTCTTTATAATCAATTTAATATTAAACACTACCAGAAAAAAAAATGTATTTTTTTTCGGTAACTGTATACACCCACCCATATTCAAATTTAATACAAAATTTTACCTGAACAATGCACTAATCAAAGAACTTTTGCCAGCCCCCGTTCTGCCAACCACGGCGACCTTCTCTGAACTCTTTATAGTAAAGCTAATGTCGTTTATGGCTAAAATCGGTTCTAGATCGCCCGTTTCTTTCTCTTTCTCGTCCTCTGCTACGGACTCTTTTTTTGGAGGTTTCTCATACTCCAAAGACACGTCTTTGAAAACTATTTCACCTATAAAATATAAAATGTCAGAATTGATTTAAGTTTTTTAAGTTCTATATGATTATTTTTCTAAAAGTTATTTTTCATATCTCAGATAAATTTACCTTTAGTAGGCCAAGTCTTCAAATCCAATCCTGGATGTTTGCTCCTTAAAGCTTTTTCGTCTGGATCCATTGGACTTTCGGATGGCAATTTTGAGTATTCCAGTATCCTTTCCACCTGTTTGAGACATCAATGGAGTGTTGTAAATGTCTATGGTCCCTGCTGATGTTGCGTGGATATAGCTCATCAGGTAACATTTCGAAGCACGGCAAACATCAGCAAATTATAATGATTCTAGTATAACGCCATCGGGCAAACCACTAGCCTGGTCCTCGACACGGATACTTTCTTGCTTTGCTTTCGAAAACTTTCTGTATCGGTAGGTCTTCTCTAAACAAACTAAAGACTATGCGTCATATTAAAACTTACTATATCATCACAGCCTATTAATATCTCCACTACTGGGGCTCAGGCCACCCCTATGGATGGAATCGAATCCGGTGAATGTGTTATGACTCACTTCGCGGGCCCTGTAGAAATTGATGGGTATTAACGACTGCTAATGTAGTCGGGATCAACAGCTTCACATGACTTCCAAAGCACGGAGGAGTTCGAAATAATAAATTTTTGGTCACCCATCCTATGACCGGCCTTTGCGAAAGTTGCTTAACAACCTCAACTTACTGTATATGGTTATAATTGAATGTACTTACAGAAGTCATGTGGTTCTCCACCTCGGCTGTCTGCCGCATACCGAACTGGCACATGCCAACTAAACCTAGCACTTGCGTAATAGCAAGACCGACGCTGCCGCTAGCTGTTTCTGTAATTATATAAATTTATATATTTTATGTCTATTTATCACTATGTTAATGTACTATTTATTACTCAGGAGCACTCGGAGTGTTGTTCGTTCATAAGAACGAATTTATATCAACAGCTAAATAGACTCTGATAAAATTTCACCCTTTCTTTAGGACTCATTCAAAGTTGACAAGAATATTGTGGTATCCACAGAAACACATTATGTTAAAATGAAAAACTCGCACAAAATCTTTAACTATTTGCTATATACTATTTGGTCCTTTATTCCCGTCTCATTAACTGGCTTGTTGATCTTGTCTTGTTCACTATATTTTATTTTATTATTACATTATTGTATTTAAAGATACAAAAGTTGCACATTTTTTAAATTTGTTTTGTCAAAATTAAAATACACTTTTCGAGGCAGCCTATATTTAATACAGCACCAAATAATAGCAAACTAGAAGTTTTGAAAACATTAGAATGTAAGGTTTACACGTTCTTGCTGATTATCCAAATCAATAAACTCTATTAGCAACGCAATAAGGCTAAAAGAGAAGTGAAGAAATATGAATATCTGCTGTTGATCAACAGCAGATTCGTGTCGAGTACAATACTCACGTGAAGCATCCAACAACAGGAAGCTACCGATGACACATGCTAAAAATGTGCAGCACAACATGTCCATCCACCATTCGAACGCTCGTGTGGTCACCAGCTCGAGTGCCCACGCAGACGAGTGTAAGTCCTGAAGACTGTCGAACTCCTGTGCGACAGTACGCTGCTGCACGCCGCACGATCTGATAGTGCTCAGACCAGATATTGTCGATGTCGCGTGACTCAAGGTCTGACTGTTCACTGTACCAATCGATTGACAAAACGTCAAGTCAGATAGTATTTGCACCAACACAAATGATATCAGAATTGCACATATATGATCCGGCAGTTTTCGAGAAGAGAAACATGACTTCTGAAGGGAAGAAACAATATACCGAAACAGCTTTCCTATTATGTTAAAAACACAACTATTATTACCTTTTTTAGTTGAGTTTTGATTTGAACCTCTAATGCTGCGACCTGTGTCAGTCGATGCTGTGTTTTTAACTTCCATTGCACACTGATTTACAGGTTTCAACCTGATATCTTTTTGCGGAGGTGCATTGAACCCTGACCGCGTTCTTATTTTACTGACGGTATTTCCAAGGTGCATAATGTTTTAAATACCTATCCTAACATCGTCACATTACAATAATAGATTTTTGTTAAATGTTCTGTCATACCTATAAACATTATGTCCCTACACTTATTGGACTTACCGATAGCTCCTATCCTCTCCAACTCGCGACTAGTGCACAAGTATAATTTACGCAACATGAACAGGATCGATGTTAATACAGCAGTGGGCAGCAACAACCACCAGTTCATTAGGCATACCACGATCAATACGAACAGCACTTCTAGGAAAAACTAAAACAAAATGTACGATATGTAAAAACTAATGTTAACATACTGAAATATCAAGGTTTACAAAGCTCTTCTACATTTTTGTCATGACATTTTAAAACTATAAAAGAGTAACACCTGTTTTCACTAACGTAGAACAAAGAATAGCTTAACTAGGAAATGCCTAATCTAACGAATCCCCTAAGCTAAAGCAGATTTGTTAATTCTAAATTAATATTTAATTTATTATATTTGATAAATTTTGCATTTGCAATGCTATACTGACAAATATTCTTAATGAAAAATGCTCAAAAAATCCTGGGACTAAGGAGCAGTCGCCCGGAATGCGAAAGGTCGTGGGTTCGAGTCCCATTTCAGAGTGTCAGGGACAAAGTGGATTTTTTAAGCATTTTTTTAAACATTTTGAGATCTGACATAATATGCAAAAGCCTACCGCAAGGCACCACGCAATGCATGTTATAACTTTAGACATTACTAATGCCCGTTTTCACCGGCTCTTTGCGCTATTTGGTCATAAATATCTCAAGAGACAACCGTTTAGGCGATTCGTAATATGAGGCGTTTCCTTGTTAAGCTATTCCTTGTTCTAGCTTAGTGAAAATGGGTGTAAATGTCATTAGGTGGCTCCTACTCATTAGTGAAATGCATTTTCACCTTAGGCAATTCCTAAATATTTAGGCGCACGATTTGGGTGACTTCAAAGTTGAGTGAAAATGGTCAGAACTGTTAGATTCAATATCCATTGTCATGGAGGTAGCAACTTTTAGGTGAATCATTGCCAGTATGAGCAAGGCAAAAAGGCTATCCGTTAGAGTAATAGGAGCAACGGATGGTCGAGGTCTTTTTCTACTCAACGTTCTCGATTCGTCATGGCATTAGGTCACTAGAGAAACGTGTCGGGAGTATGACATCTTCATATTATATCATACAATATAACGATTTAAATTAATTATAAACTTATATTAACGAAAAATTGACAGAAGTATTTAAAATAGAATGTTTTCTACGTTCATTTTGTCTTTGTAGTAAGTTAAGTACTTTCTTCTTGGGTGGACCTACGCCCTGTTGAATAAACACATGAGAAGAGTCCATCTCTACAAATATGTAAATGTTTTCGCAACGCAACCGGGTAAATATAAGACCTCCACGCATGATATACCTTCACGAAAGTGAAATAATTTTCTAAATCGGTCCTGTACTTTCGGAGAACGAACAATCAAACATTTCCTCTTGTAATTTTAGAGTATAGATTACTTACGCCTAAGCAGTCGACCAAAGCACCAGGTAGTATAGTGTCCATCATTCCCATATCATTAGAAAATCGATTCAAAATACGGCCCGAATGGTTGTGGTGGAAAAACCACATGGGGGCGTTAGTGACACCTCTGCAAAAGAACAATCAAGTAAATACTTTTGCTCAGTTTTATTATTTATTTATTTGATACTAGTCGTTTTCTAAACATAAATTAGTCTATATCAACCGTGTGTAATTTCCAGTACGTGAAATAATTTTTATATTCAGAACAGTATTTCAGAAGATTAAAAACAAATATTATATTTGTATAGTAATTTATGTATATAGTTATTAAAATTGGTGTAGTAATAAAACGAGTGACTGTAAATTAAAGTTTTAAGTGTCAAATATAATTAATTTACGTCATAGTATTACTAAGTGAGCGACTGACTGCGGAAGATGAGAAATCAACAGAACAGCAACTTACAAACATTAATTTGAGTTACTTAAAATACACAATGAAATGCTTCTTAATATTTGAACGACCTAATATTTGATTGAGCGCCAACGTTACGTCCTGCATTGTTATCAATATTTGGCAAATGTTTTTTTATATACTGCGCGGCATATTATCTTATATAAAGTGTTTCAAATACAAAAATCATTTTGAAAAATACAACAATGAACATAGTATTATGAGCTCATATAAAAATAATATAATAACCTATCAGTGCAGTTTAAATCTTTCGAAAGTTTGTTGCAAATTAAATATACTTTTTTGGTAGGATTAGATGCTATTTCATTAAGAAATCATGTCAAAATAAAACCAACAGTAACCAATGCATTAATAATGCAGCAGACAAAACTTTGCTTAAAGTGAACTTTTTAATAGTTTGTTGGAAAAAACTTCAGTTGGAAAAAATCTAATCTATCTTAATATTATAGTTGCTCTCTTTGTATATCTAGTCGCTCACTTAGTAATGTAGTCGCATGGACAGAATTGTAATATCTAAAATGGATTAAACATAACCCACTTTTTGTAAGCTCGTTTTGAAATTGATCATTAATCAATATTCATCGTTGGTTAAGTTAATTTTCCGCTTACTCAAATTCATAACACTCAAGTTATTAAAACAGTATGCCATCATCAGTCGCTAAGTTCTTTTTTAGTCGATCGTTTTATAATTCCCCTTTAAATTGTGGTATAGCTAAGATGGTTACCTGAACAAACCGTCATGGAGTGCCACGGAAGCCTTGATACATGTGTTGTAGAATACCACTAATTTAGTCCATGTAAATGCAACGGCAATCGCTATCAGTACACCGTACACGTATATACACTGATCACGAGTGAGACCGAATCGATTTGCTGACAGGTCTTCGTAAATCACACCTTAAATCAATATATGACAAAGTTGATTTTTCATTGTTAAATAATTTAATAATTGAAACTGAGACTTAGCACGAAAATTATCCGAGTGCGAACCGAATTCGTAACGACCACAAATTTCAATTTTTTTATTTGAAAATCTTAATTTTACGGACGTAGATGGCGCTGTACGACTATCAATACGTAAAATTACATGTATATCACACTCGGTGATTTTTCGTGGCAAGTGTACTGCGCATACTGGTTATAGACAAATATGTCAATTTCGTCCAATTACTTTTAAACCTGAAACAGTTTAAATTGAAGGTTTTAAATCGATTGCTAAAATTTGACAAAACCTGGAAATGTACTCTGAAAACCAATGTTCTAGACATTTAATTTGTGTTCGTATAATATTTGATAATTACACTGGAATATATTCTTAATGGAAAATGCTTAATAATTCCATTTTGTCCCTGGTACTCTGAGAATGGATTTGCTCTAGAATGGGATGGGAGCAGTAGCCCAGATTGCAAAAGGTCGTGGGTTCGGATCCCGTCTCAAAGTACCAGAGACAAAGTGGATTCTTAGAGCATTTTTCATTATATTTACAAATTTCATAAGTTGACGACAAATCACATCCAGAATATACCGAATTTCGATTTTAAGAGTACAGGGTTTGAGCTGTGGAACAATAATCTTTTTTTTTATGCAAGAGAAATCCACTAAGCAATATGATATGTTAAAAAGCAGTCGTTTACAAGTGTGTGCTTTTAGCAAAGAGTTTATTGAAGCAAGTGTCATGAGGATACTTTACTTGATGACTCTATAAATGATGTATTTATTTGTGTAGAATTTGTTTGTGTTATATTTGTGTGCCTTTGATTTTCAGCGATGTTTTCTTCTTCGATATTCACCCTGAGGAAGAAATGACATTGCAAGACTAAAGATACAGATGAAAACACAGAACAATAACTCACATCTAGATGTATGTGATGATGTCATTACTTGGAATAAATATAGCGATTTTTCTAGTTTTACATAACTAGCAGCAGTATATTGGTATTTTGATATCATTAACGCGTGAGATACTTTGTTTGAACTCCTATTTTGAGGTAAATATTTATTTACTGGAGGTAAGGAGTTGTCATCCATCCTTCTTTCCCAATTCCAGAGCCGGTCGACTATTGTTTTTTTTTACAATGTCAATGAACTAATTTAATAAAATACATTATCTTAACTTTGTTCTAAGGCTTGACTTGAAGGCTAGCTCCACCCTTGACTTTGGTTTTTACATAATACTTGAATGAACGCAACTCACCATTCTTGCATCCATACGTCAGTAGCCGAATAGAATATTTGTGCTGGTACAAACAGAAAGACGAGCAGTAACAGAGTCCATTTATTGCCACCGCTCTTGAAGTAAGCGAAATACACATCTCGTGATATAGACCCTTCGTTTTGGTCTTCCTCTAAATCAAGTAAAAGCAAATATATGTTATATAACCAAGAAAAATTACAAATTTAACTATAAGTATTTTCTTTTGTAGCTAGAGCTATGGCGTCAGCTAGTTATATTAAAAATATCTTTTGTACTTTACTATACGACAATGTAACGTAACGTTATTATTTCGTGTCAGGTTTTTATGCTAACATATAGTTATAAAACCACCTTTTGTTAGAAAGATCTTTATTTTTTTAACCTAAATAACCTTACCTTCATATTCTGGATCCAAATCGTTGTTAAAATCCATATTAAACGATTGCTGTGAAGTCTCAGATAAAGATTTCAATCTGTTCCTCTAAAAAAAGGGAAAATGTACTGTAAACTTTTCATTAATATAAATTGGGTTATAATAATGTGCTTATTAACTGTTCTAAAACTTGGAAGTTTTTTGCATAACGTTAATGTTGCAATGAAAATGTGATAAAACATTATCTACTTACTTTATTACTTTTTGCGACATCTTTCTCTTCTTCTTCATTCTTCTCTGAGAATTCTTTTAGTTTCTCAAATTCACTAGTTTTATTCTTCAACTCTTCATATGTTCCTTGTATTTGTATCTGTTGAAAAGTATAATTATTTAAGATATTTATTTATTAATGAAACTCTATGTAATTTTTTGTCTATCAAGGTATACAATTGCATGTACAAGGATTTTTATGTTCGAAGGTTACCTTGACAGAAACCAAATACAAAATTAACCCAATTACTCAATGAAGGTTAAGCTCATAACATATCATTACATTACAGACGGATAGAAATTTGATTGAAGGACCAGTCAAGTGTGAGTCTGACTCGCTCACCGAAGGTTCCTTACAAAGTATATGTATACTACAGGTACTTGTTAAAAATATTTTTTAAAATTATATGATGTATCTAAAAATTTACGACTTTCACAATATTTCCTCTATCTGTGCTATAAGACGTTGCTTAGTATTTCAAAGATAACGAGCTACAAATCCAAATAAACCGAAATTGTTGTAAGTAAACAAAGTATTGATAACATAATTTTTTTTTATACTTTATTACAATCAATGAATTTTCCTTCCTACTTAATAACAGGCTTAGGACTATTTGGAATCAATATAATGAAGTTTAAATTTACGCAATGAATTAACTTTCAACACAACGCGCGCCTACTCTAACAACGAAAAGCGTGCTGGTTTTTTAAGTACCAAATTTCAAGATTCTGAGTTCACAGGAAGTCACGAGTTTTTTAATCCATTGCTAGTTTCGAAAATTTGTGGCATAAACGGCTGTTGAAAAATTTGTTTTTTTCACAACTTCAAGGGACAGTAGACCTGAGAATTTACCACTATGCGTTCCTAAGAAAAAGGGTCTTGACAAATGGACGGATGGACAACAAAGTGTTATCCTATATGGGTTCCGTTTTTAAACAGTACCATTTTACGAAAATAAAAATAACAAGTGACATTTAAGATAAATAACATCATAAAAGTGACCAACCTGTGCGTTTCTCATGACGACCACGTGGTCGGCGTACGTCGCATACTGAACATTGTGTGTGACCAATATTACCGCCCGAGATCGCAGGAAACCATGGATGCAATTACTAAACATCGCTTGGGCTACCTGTTAGAGTAAGCAAATTATAATAGTTAACATCAGAGCTTTGAAAGCAGAGCTAATAATAATTAGGGTTACAGCAAATTTTTAAAATGAGTTAATAATGTTAAGGCAGTACAAGATTTTGATCTTTACCGTTAAATCATTAAGATCTACAATCGGACAAAGAAATTTACCTTAGCGTCCACAGCAGCCAAAGGGTCGTCTAGAAGGTATACATCAGCGTTCTGGTATACGCATCGGGCAAGAGATATACGAGCTCTTTGACCGCCGGAGAGAGAAACGCCTACAATAATAAAAAAATGAAGGGTGATTCTTTATCAGCTTATTATGTATGTTAATTTGTGGCACAGTACAAAGCAAACGTGTTGTCCAATTTCAATGATGCTTAGGTCAATCAAGTCGACTTGACCCCTTGAGTGCCACATAAAACATAATATTACTCAAAATTCAATAAGCCGAACATAAGTTTCCATATTATAAGCAAGAAAAAATTCAAGTCAGCTAACTGAATCAATTAGAGTACCAGTTTATAAGTGATGATAAATGTACTTGGCGGGTGCACTCCCGTGCCCCCAGATATCTAAGGTAATAATTTAAGGTTTCACATTGTTCTGGTATAAAAAAAGTATCGTAGAATGGTCGTGGTATGGCACTATGTAATCGAAAAAAGACCTTTGGAATATTACAAACCTTTTTCCCCCACAATAGTCTTGTCACCAAAGGGGAGTATATCCAAATCGGGTTTGAGCTGACAACACTCGATCACTTTATTGTATCGACGTAAGTCCATTTTTTGACCGAACAAGATGTTTTGACGAACCTGGATAAATGAAAAAAAAAATGTTCCATGAAATGTTAAATAGATATACTGATTTGCGAGATCTTGACTTCAAATAGTTTTTCGCAGACAAAGTCGCGGAAAAATAACTAGTATAATATATTGCCTATTATTTACTATCGAGTACTTACAGATGCCTCAAATAGCCACGGATCTTGCGCAGCATACGCTATTGTTCCGTAAGTCTCCAACTGACCACTGGTCGGAGATATTTCTCTCAATATTGCTTGCAATAAAGTCGTCTTTCCTGCACCCACCTCACCTACTATCACAGTTAGAATGTCCGGTTTTATCTAAAAGAAAATAACAACTGTTGCTTGTAACATATATTTTGCATCATAGTAGTCGTGTTATTTTGCAGTCTTTGAAGTGGACTATGTATAGATTATACAAATATAAGATGTCCTGACATACTGACTGACAGACAACACACAGCCTAAACCGCTCGTAGTAGAAGCTTGAAATTTGGAGGGAACATTCTCCTTAATACGTAGAGGTGTACTAAGAACGGATTCTTGGAAATTCCATCCCAAAGGGGGTCAAAAAAGGTGAAAAAGTTTGTATGAAACTTCGTTGTTTATGGACCTATGGAAATTGGTATTTGGGTAGTTTATGGCCCTAGGAAGGTAATAGGTTATAATGTATCCCGAAAACCACCACTTATAGGGATGAAAACGGTAGTGGAAGTTTTTATGGAGAATTGAAATATTACCATAGCAACCATTGTTTACTTATTTGTCTTTGATGTATCTAATATTGGGTATGTTCCGATATACACTGCGACCACTGAACAGTATGACGTCAATTTAGTATACTGGAAGCCCGTTCCTTTATAGCTAGTTATACTGGTGACTTTTTAAAACGGAATGCAGTCCAGTATACTGTTAATCCTATTTTTGGCGCCATTTTCAAATTTGTTAATTCAAGGTGAATATAAATAAAGATGAGGGAATCTTTATTTATATTCACCTTTTCACTTTTCAAAAGAAAATATTATAAAATTGTGTATAAAAAAATTATTTATCAATTAAATCCATCTTACAATAAACGTGAGTATTTTTTTTTGTTTTTTTTTTTGAAACTTATCATTTTCTGGTTCTTTTTCGACTGATCACGTGATCAAAAGCACTGCGAGCACCTTACCTCGAAATCTCCAGTGCTCACAGTACAAATATGGTGGCAATTAATGACGTCATAAATTTCCCTAGGGTACTGTAGCAGTGTACTGGCAGACCATAACGGAACGGATTTTTCAGCAGTAAGACCACTGCGCAGTGCTCGCAGTGTATATCGGAACATACCCATTATTTACATACAAATATTAAATTGCATAGCGATGAAAATTGGTGAGTAATTTATAACAAAACAATATATTTTAAATTTGTTTTTCTTGAAACTTTTCAAATGGAAGTAATTTCGTTTAAATATTGTATTGTAAAAAGTCAAAGTATTAGAAAAATAGAAGTAATATTATCCATTTATTTTAAAATAGAAGCGACTTCAAACCTAAAGGTGATAAATAATATACTTATCTCAATAACGACATACTCATGAAAATGCTATTGAAGTTGGGCGAAGGTGTTATGTATTGGATTTTCTTAAATAAGTCGCTATTGGGGTTTATCACTTTTTGAAGTTTGAAGTCTGTTCTATTTAATTAAATTTTTATTTCATGTTTGTTAGTGATATTCATATAACACTAAATATTCAAATTGGTGAAAAAAGATTTTAATTTTGAATTTATTTTGATTTGATAGAATTTAGAATTTTAGATTGAACTTTAAGACGATGCAAAATACAGAACAAAAACTAAACCTAATATGAACTTGCACCATATCTTAAAATGTTATATTTTAAACTAGCTTTCCGCCAGCGGCTTCGCCCGCGTGTTCCCTAGGGAACTATTTATTTGGGTATCGATTACTGTTATCATAGCATAGTTTTTCATACATATATTTTTGGTATCTTGAACCGTTTTCGCAGCGCACGCAACGGAAGCCCTCAAGGATGAATGAAAGAATTTTCCCCGTTTTTCAACATTTTCCATTATTTCTTTGCTCCTCATAGGTGTAGTGTGATGTTATATAGCCTAAAGCATTCCTCGATAAATGGTCTATTCAACAAAAAAATATTTTTTCATTTCGAACCAGTAGTTCCTGAGATTAGCGCGTTCCAACAAACAAACAAACTCTTCAGCTTTATAATATTAGAATTAGAATAGATTACCTTCAAATTAATATTGTCAAGCGCAACAACTTTCTTATCTAATGATTCGTCTTCTGTATTCCTCCAGTGAGCGGTGTAATTGTTCATACATATGACAAGTGGTTGTTTAGGTTGTTCCATGTGCGATTCCATTTCGGTGTCCGTATTTTCCCTAGGAGATGTGTGAAACAATTTATTATTTTTGTGTTGATATATATTTAATTAGTCTAATAATGCTTTAATGATTCTATCACTATTATTTTTTGCTCGGTGCTATCCTAATTTAAAAATATTTATCTTCAAAATCATTAAATTTGTTAACTTCTTTTAATCCATTATTTTTAATCACTTATCATGTTGAAATTTTTAAATGGATTTTATTGTGTCAATCATGGGAATTATACACTTTTAATTGCACCAAAAGGCCAAGAAAATCCGGATATACATCCGAAAGATACAGATTGTTAGCCACTGTAACTGTACATTTTGCATCAGAGGCAATATGAGAGTGTCCTAACATTTTATACAGAACTCATAGTATGATTGGATTCTCAGGTATCTGATTTGAAAGCTTACCAATTACTTGATTTCTCTGCAACACCATTCGACTCAATGTGTGGCTCATCAATATTCACCAAATCTACACCATCATTATTATTCACTTCGGGAAGCAACATAAACTCTTGCATACGTTTCACACTCACATATGCTTCTATAGTGAATGATATCGCTATGGGTAGAAAATCTATCAAATTATACTTAAGCATTTCATAATAACTAAATAGGACGTAAATTTTTGCAGCTGTCAGATCATTATCGTATGCAATATATGATATTATACTAAGGAATATGGCGACTTTAGAGTTCAATTTAACGCATGATATCATTACTGCATGCAGCCATGACATCTTTTTGATGACGTTCATTTCTTTTCTGAAAATCAAAATGAGTACCTACTATTAGTTTTAATCGAACTTTTATATTATATTTATATTATAAATACTTGTGCTCTGTCAGGTAAATGGGTACACGCACACAATAGGTAGTAATCTATTACTCTATACGTGTTTTGTCTCTTTGATATTTGCTTCACAGTAAATACCAGTAAGCAGTACTTAAAATTGAGTGACATTTTCTTTCAGTAGAGACCTTCGAATGATTTTTTTTCTCTCTGATAATGATGAATCCTTTGACTGTCAGCTGCGATGGTCTACAGATTATCATTTAAAATTTCCACAGTTAAAAAAAACATACTATCAAAAAAAAATATTAAGGCATGTTTTAGCAAAATTTTCAGTGACATCCATTTATTTTGGTCACTTCAAATTACGATCTCTCAAAATTGTCACCTACCTCCTGGCTACGCCAATCATCTTTGCGAACGCGTTCTCCCAGGCGTACATTTTAATAGCTTCTATGCTTTGTATCACTTCATTCATCATGCGGATCCTATTGTCGGTCTTTTCAGTGGTCAAATGACGTAAATTGCCTAATACTTTACCGAGGTAAGCTAGAACAAAACGATTCTTCAAAATTTGAAACCGAATGTACCTACGCAATCAATTTTCGCTCACTACAGCGAAATAAATTTCTAATATGATGCATTTAACATTTGGTTTGTGTGTGTGTGTGGTGTGAAGAAAATTAATAAATTAAGAAATGAAACTCAAATCAACTAAAAATAAGAAGACCGCAAAAAACTTGCCGGTAATATTAAGCAATTTTTCACACATTTCTGTCCCTATACTGTAACACATTTTCAGAGCATGATATAATAATAACATACATTTATTTTTAATTTTACATGGTATAATTGTCCCACTCACCTTGTAAAGGTATGAAGAACAGTATAAATGCAACTCCGACCAAACTGGCAAGGCCTATTTGCCTGTACATGAGGTATATTATAATTGTGCTTTCTATCGGCGCCCGTACTATCTCCATCACGAATAAAGCGGCCATATCGAAGCGTTCCGCGTCAGTAGTAAGGAGATTGATCACGTGACCAGTCAGACCCTCTGACGCTTTCCCACCGGTGTTTAAATCCAGCCGCAGTAGCTAAGAACATATCCTAATTTTGTAGTCATATTTATGGAACTGAATACTTATATTGTTATGAAATTGAAATAGTCAAATGAATTTAATGACGAAACAAGTTTAGTTTTACTCCTAACTCAATAAAAGCTAGATTTGGTGCCCTCAAGGAACTTCTTTGGACCCACATTATTTTTCAATGATGTATCATTGAAAATGTACCTTGATCCGTTTATCACTTGTAAGAGAGACTAAAAAGATGCTTACAAACTAAAACAATCTAATTGATTTGTCAAAAAACATTAAAAAAGACAATGATTTATATATAATTAAACCCTTACTAAAATGTATTTATTAACGGAAGTACAAAAGCCAATTAAGAATATGTATGATTGTATGTTATGGATTATTAAATAGGTATCTGTTACCTATAATATAACAATTACTATGATATGTATATATTATGTATTTATTCGTATCACTAAGAGAGAAGTAGGCAGACAAGATCGAGCGTGGCGGTCGGCAGCGACGCACAAACGCACTGTTGATAACGGCTGATGCGCTGGGCCACTGATATTTATAAATATTGTTTTACCCTCAATTTATGTGGATGACCTTTTAAGTAAATGCTAGAATTAAGTATTTAATTATAATTTGAGGTTGTTGTCGTCTCTAATAAATAAAAAAAAATATATGATTCCGTTTCTATTTCATACAAGACTGACATTTTTTGAAATTCGCATGCTATTATAATGTTGTAGGAAAATACGTACGCGTTTATTTATTTAATAACAGATCCAACATTTTGTATCATATTTTATGGGACTAAATTATTACCTTCCTGTATATTAGGGAGCAACATGCGACTCGGATTTTGAGACCCATCTCTAGGAGCCACAACAACATCGGAGGCATCATAGTTGATTGTATCACCATTAATCTATATAAATACATGAAATTAGAAGTTATCACTTGGGTTCGCAGTAATAAATAAAAAAAAATATTATAAATAATAAATAAAAAAAAAAAGTTAAATATTTGAGGACTTAACTTCAAAGATAACACTTTTTTCGAAGAGAGAGAATTAATTTCAGACGCTACGACAACGTAAACTCACCCTATGATTCCTAAAGCATATAAATATGCGTGAGATGTAGATATTCCCCCATGAGAAGGGGAAAAATAACTAAGTAATCCCTCAAGGCACAATGGTACAGCTAATCTGGAATTTATAAATGTTTATTAATTATATACAAATATTTAATAGGTACATAATTTACTTTTTGATATTCTCTATTTACGGATTTTATCTACTTACTTTACACCAGTGTCAGCAATAGAAAATACTATATTGAAGATAATGAACCTTAAGCCATATATGTTTAGAATTGCTCGCAGCAGCGACGGTTTTCTGTCTAAAATGTTTATACAATGATTTTTGCATTATTATTTAAAACTAATTTGTATTAATCAACATTATGTACATAGAAAATAAATAAAAAATCCTACTTTACTTATTGCTTACTTTTGTTTTGCACTTCTTGTGTCCATTTTTGTCCCATTTCATCCCCACGGGGAGCAGCCCTATGTGCAGGCATACATCTGTAATATAAAAGTAGGAGTAGGTACTTTATAATGTATAGTACGAACGAAGAAAAAGAAACTAACCACAAAAGTCACACAACATAGTATCAGGTGTTCATCCCATTTTTAAGTCGCTATTTTTTAAATATTAATAGTTCTTACGCAGGGTTTACTTTCATACAGTACCCGGTACATAATTCGATTTATAGAATTGGAGACACACATTTACATTTGATTTAAATTTTTGAAATAGGTTTCTAGAGTAGCACTGACCATGCCATAATCTTAAGGACGGTTACATTAACAATGGATTTTAATTTTCAATTATGAAATACATATAAAATTAGTTTGACTCATTTTTAATTTATAGAGCAGTTTAAGCTACCAAAATGGAATTATAAATCTAAGGGTTGGTACATATGATGGAAGATACGTCACATCACGTCTCGTCGATCACAGAACGTCAGAAAGAACAAATTATATAAAATAATTTGGTTGCATGGGAAAGGTTGACGGATATTCCGTCAATTTGCACCGACCTCAAATGACACTATTTGAAGTTACCTGTAAACATCTGCTATGCTAAGTTGCCCCTTTCGACCTTTATCGAATATAGGTTTAGTGTACCTTAAAAGTAAAAAAAAAAAGGTTTGTTAGCTCGATGCATTATGCAGACGTCGAGGATAGGGAATGCTATCTTATGAGCGAGCTTATGAATATAAAACCGAGAGATCTCGCGAGATTAGCACTTCTGTGTGTTTACTGTTTTACTGTAATATATATTCAAATTACAAAATTTGAATAAATTAGGAAAAAAATATAGGAATATTAGGTATATTAATAAACATATATTTTTACGGGTATTTTCATTGAAGGTTTATGTATTTAACATTGTTTGACGCAATTATATATTTTTATCTAAAACCTTTAAAAGAGCAATTACTGTATTATAATCTCGGAAACGGCTACGACAATTTTCATAACATTAAGTATGCAGAGGCTTTCAGAGGCGATAAATCTATTTAGTTAGGTTATTTTTTTATTTATAAAAGTGCCGAGTAAAGCTTAGTCATCCAGATACTAATCTTTTAAGAAACTAAACTTTGACGTATCTAATTAAATACGAAATAAACAACCAGTCTTCTCTGCTAATATCAAACAAAAGTTTAATTATAAAGACACAGTTTTTTATAATATAAATACAAAAACTAAAATAAAACTCACTAAATTGAATTGATTATTAAACTGAGATTATTATCAATGAAAGAAAACTATATGTACCCAGAGATCTATTAGAAATTAGAGAATAAATTAACAAATATATACCAATTTTTTTAAAGGCTTATTCAGTTCGCTTCACACGTCATTAATAAGAATGATTTTGAAAGTAGCTTCTTAAGAAGCACAAAATGTCGAAAGGATCTTTGCTATCCATTTTTCGACCGAGATCAATCTCGCTAAAAAAGGCCAAGATCTCGCGAGAACAAAATTGCAGTTATGGCCCTATATATGTACCTTCTCTATGTACGGCGTATTATTGTTTTATTGACCTTGATCTTGGATCCTTTTTATTGATCTCAGGATCAGAATGTTCCATAGAATAACAGTGGGATATGTAAAATATAATGCAATAATAAGCCGGTAACTTACCAATAAACAAGATGAGATAAAAGGTTTGCCTTCTCCCTTGGATTTTGTTCCCTTTCATTATTATTACATTTGGGATCCATAGTTTAAACTTCAAAATAAATCCTGTTGTTTTCTTTTATCTGTAACAAGTAAACTTAGATATATAAGCAGGTAAATATTACGCCCGTTGGCAGCGGTAACGAGTGCTGTGAGGAAGGCCCGAGGGGACAGCCTTGGGGTGAGCTCGCAGGAAGCCCAGGTGGGAGGCCCGGGCGGCACTCATTTCAATTCGAAATTGAAGGCGGTAAAGGGGTGGGTTTTACCAGGTAGGCCTTCCACACCAACCTGCCCTTTTTAAGGCGGGGTGGAAGGAGAGCCCTGATTTGAAGCTTAAGGTGAATTTCCCTTGAACAAAAAAACAAAAAAAAGCTTTATATTACGATAGTCAAAAATGGTTATCTCAAAACTTTATGTTACTATTGTAATTGTCACAGTAACAAAGGTCGCGGGAAGACGCTGGATGTAGACAGCGCAGGACCGATCGTTATTGTGACCCATGCCCACTGCTGAGGAGGCCTATGCTCAGCAGTGGGCATCGAACGGCTGATATGGTGATAATGATAAATTATTCTATTGTTATCTACGCCAACTCGTCTTCCACGAACATGTCTCGAGGCGGGTGTAGCCGCCGCTATTATCCGTTATCAAACGCGTGCGCTCTGTGGGCGGTTTTTTTTCGAAAATTTTTTTTCAATCAGGCCCGTCTTTACCCATGGTGCGGGAAGTGCAACGCACCCGGACTCCGCGCGTTGGGGGGCCCCACATCGATGATCATCGCAGAGCACTGCTTAAACCCTGGCGCCTGTTGTGCTTAAGACGTGCCTCGAAACGATGGGTCCGTGGGGCCCCGGAGCCCATTGTCTTTAACAAGTGTTCAAAAAGAAACTTTTTGAGAGGTCTCGTGATCAGAATTCTGGTTTGTAACTCACCCAAAGAATTAGTTTGGCTAATCAAAGAGGAAACGCTCGCAGCTTTCTGGGTACCTTAACTGTTGGCAATGATTTAGGAGATATTTTTTATTTAGTATAGTTAAGACATAGCTTAGTAGTTTTTATTTTCAGATAATATAAAAATATAAATACATAGATACTAAGATGGCCACAAAAAAACCATTATATTGCGACCGATAGCAATTGCTAAAATTAATCGTCTCCACTAATGTATAGCAAAGTAAAATTAATGTATACATATTACAATTAACGTAATAATCGCAATCTCAATGACGTATCAACTGCACTGTGCCAATTTTACTATCTATCTGGGGTCCAACATTATCAGTGCAATGTCTGCTTCGCAAGTCAATGGTGACAAGTTTGTTATTTAGTAGTCTAGTAACAAGAACTGTGTTAAAAATATTTACTTGCTATTTAGAGCTCAATGTTAAAGCGCTATTGACTCGTCATAATAACGCTAACATTATTAGAATTAGGGCCGAATACGCAGGAATATTAACTAAATAAATTAATATTATTAGTAGTGAGACGGGGCATGTAACTTGCACAGGCTAAGTTGATAGTTAATCGTAATATGGATAAATGTTAGTAAAAGAAAGGAGTATATCGTCCTCTAGGGACATTTTAGGGATGATCGACCTCCGCCTCGTTACTCTTGAACATAATCGCGATCGATCGACATTGCAATTGTACCATATCGTGATCTTGATTAGGTACACTAGCGCCAGAGTATGCTTGTGAACCAATCAAGAGTGCGGAGCCCAAGGTAACCTGTAACTGGCACGTAAGTTAAACAAACTATCTAGACAAACGTTAAGACTAATAGTAGGTATACTAACTGGTCATGGCTATTTTAACAAGCAGTTATATAACATGGGTATCTTTGACAGTTCTCTGTGCAGGGCATGCCTGGACGCTGAAGAGACAGGCGCTCACGTACTACTGGAATGCAGGGGCGTTTCAAGACATAGGTCTACACATCTGGGTAGTTCACGGACATTAAAGGAGGTATGCAGCAAAGTTAAAGGACTTATGGGCTTCCTGGAGGAGCTGGGGTGGCAGGACTTTTTTTTAACGCTGAGAAATGCATTCCGCATACCCGGGCGAGCGAGCTTCACGGGTTATGTGGGACTCTCCCCAGCGGACCAACCCCAGACTGGGGCTGGTCAAATAACAGGGGCCTACCCACTAAAACTCAGCGATGTCCCTCACTGCGGGGGATCAGCGCGCGGTAACGGGACCACTTCCCGCGCATGCCGTCCCCGCTCGACCCACCCCTTAACAGGGCGGATCCCGTCTCGGATTAGGGAAGGGCTCAGGAACATTCGAGTCCAACCCCAGACAGGACAAGGGACGTGCAATGCCTGGCGAGCGCGCTAACCCGCTAGACTTGCCCCCTGTCAAAGGCAAGAGATGCACAATTGAGCATCTCCCACCCTAGCCCGTCTAAGAGAGGGAATTCACCCGGGCTGAACCCTCGTGAATCCCTCACCCCGATAGCCTCGGATACCAATGTCCAGCCCAGCGTACACCGAACCAGTCACGGGTATTGCGTTCCTTAGTCGCGCTCTGATAGTGGCCCCGCCGGGGCCCGATCACCCCACACACCGACAGTGTGGGGCAGTCCGGCCCCGACGGCCCCACTACCAGAGCGCAGGGGTGGCAGGACTGATGCAACCCCATTATTCACGCAAAATAGGCACAAGGTGTCGAGTTGCGGAAAAGCCCGCCGTATAACATAAGAGTGCGGAGCGGCGCAATTGCAAAGTCGATCGGTCACGATTGCGTTCAAAAGTAAGGGGGCTGATATGCGATCGAGAGTAGGACTGTAGACATTCACCATCTGAGCTCAAACCTGTGTCACCTTCAGAGCGAATGCCTTACTCCTCTATAACTCTAATCATAGGATACGAAATCTTCGCGATCTTATTGGGCTTCTACGTTTCATTTAAATATCTTGACATGTACTTCAATAAAGATAAATATGGATTTGACAGCAGTGTTTCCAAATAAGGCATTTATCCCAAAATCCACCAAGACATGTTAAAACAGTCAATTTGAAACGAAATATTGTCATAATATTTGCCTATCATCCCCATGGCTAGAGTGTTAGGCGATCGAAACCCTGGTCTCCCGTATAGTTTTATTATATAATCGCGAATCTGCAAATAACATTTGGAACTAGGCAAATTAGTGGATCAATATTTTTAACGTAAAAAATATAAGTAATATTAACACATAATATGCAAGTAGGTACTCTTTTTTTTTTATGGGATAGGGGGCAGACGAGCAGACGGATCACCTGATGGTAAGTGATTACCGTCGCCCATGGACACCTGCAACACCAGAGGGGCTACAAGCGCGCTGCCGGCCTTTGAGGGAATATGATCATAGGGAGGGAAGGGTTGAGGGGTAGAGGGAAGGGAATAGGGAGGGGTTAGGCATCCGGTACCCTCACTCACACGACGAAACACAACGCAACCGTTGCTTCACGTCGGTTTTCTGTGAGGCCGTGGTATCACTCCGGTCGAGCCGGCCCATTCATGCCGAAGCGTGGCTCTCCCACGGAACCGTCTCCATCATGGTTGCAAGGTGTTGTAGTTATGAATGTATGTACATACGTAAACTCTTACAAAATTCGTATCGACAGTGGTAGAGACACACCGGCATAGCTCCGAAAACAAACTGATGCTTCTATAATGTTGCAAAAAAACAGTAAAAGAGCAACTCGTGAGTCGTGAACTATCTAATTAAATGCTGGCTCATTTGTTTGTAAAAATATGTCTTACACAGTATCGAATTGCCCATTAGGAGCGACATAATTTTCGTTCGCGATTTCAACATGGTCATACCACGAAGCGATCAAATTTAACCATGACATAAACACACGATAGTAACGATAGTATTCTGCTCGTAATTCATCATAAACCATTTATAAATCTATTTCACATACTACAACAGAAAACGCAATTGTTAGATTTTTGTGCGGCTTAATGTTAATTGTTAAAAGGGAGACCTATAAAAACATAAAATATGTGTATCTTATCGGGTCACACACGGTCCACATATAGACGTAAATTGGAACAAATTATAATCCACGGTTAAACAGATTTCGAAAAACATGTTTTATTTTCCTAATGCTTATAAATGAAGGTCTCAGCCACGTAGAATGGCTTTTTTAAATCAATTTAACTTCAAACTTTAAAAAAGTGATAAATAATACTCATTTCAAAAGTTTCTTATTCAAGAAAGTATTATCGAATATGGACAGTTTTCTGTAGGTTATTAATTAAATGATATATTAAGATTAAGATTAAGTTTGCTTTTTCTTTAATGAGGATTGAAAATTTACAAAATCCTAATTATTTAGAGAGTTAGAATAGTTCTAGTTTCGTATAATTAATTTTGTTTTCAAAAAATTTAACTTGCTTCAAAAGTGAGAAATTTTATCTCAAAAGAGGTTTTCTGTATGTTTATTAAATTATAACCTCCCGACAAAAGAAGTTTGTTGTATAATTCATATAAACTTGAACCCGGTTCTATTTTTTGTTTTTGGAATAATTTAATTTGAATAGGTGATGTGTAAAAAAACACCTAATAATAAGAAGAAAAAAGAAGAATATTTGGTTGCATCACGCTTGCAGACGACGGTAGGTGCTTGCCAAAGAGTGGATCTTAAGATTAAAATAAGAAGTCATTTCAAACGTCCATGTTTTTGTACCCACTTCAATTAAAATTAAAAAAAAACTACACATAGTCAAAGTCAGTCCAGTAAGGTAAGTCCAACTTCGAGAAAGAGTTTCTCGTCGGATCCAATTCGAATGGGCAGCGTTTGGGAAGCTAAGAAAAACTTCGCGTCCCATTTACCAGTGTATCAAGTGTATGTTATCAGAGGTGAGAGAATTGAACTTACGTTCTACGATAATTTAAACCTTAACATATATCTACATTTACCTTACACCGTAATGCTATAGGTTAAAATTCTAAATTAGGAAGAGCGGAGTGTTGTTAGTACATGGTTATAGTAACACTTTTCTAATGACTTTCTATTATTATATTGGTTTCTGAAAAAATAAGGTAAGTATTTC